GTGTGTGTGTGTGTGTGTGTGTGTGTGTGTGTGTGTGTGTGTGTGTGAGTGTGTGTGTGTGTGTGAGAATGTCTCAGTCCTCGGGCACTTTCTATCATTCATCACATCCCTTACAAGACCATGCAGCTTTTTTGTACTGCGCTTACAGTTGTATTGTTTTCAAATAGAATTGACATCTTTGCAGTGAGAGTTTGATTTACTGTCCAGTGTCAACCTCACAATCCCTGTGTCGGCCAACAGGAGGAAAGGTCATCACGCTCCGAACAGCGAATTAGCAAGCGCAAGAACTGATCAAGAAGAGGTCAACATGTGTGTCCTTCAAGCAGACAATGGGGTATGAACCCTTAAGTAGAGGCCATGAATAAGCACAATCAAGACTGAGTCCATAATGAGATTAAGAGTGGCCCAAGACTAAGCCTGAAGTAGGATGTAACCACATTCAATTTAATTCTGTTACAGTAACTGTATAATACAATCACAGGTATCTCAGAACAAACTAAGTTTTTTCCGTCTTCAGACGAGACACGTCATACAAACATTCAAAGCACTAACAGTTACATTCTCCATCCTGTACTCTCTCATCCTGTGCAGGGTCGTGAGGGGGGCTGGAGTCTATCCCAGCTCACACAGGGCCCGCTGCTTTTAAATGGGCCATGCATTTCTCAGCATGCACATAAGTGCATAATGTATGCTTATGGTGATGCCAGCCAAGTGCTCTCTCCTGCCTTGAGAACAGTCAGCCAGTCAGTCAACCAGCGGATCAGTCAGCTAGCTAGTCTCTTGAAGCGCGTGTCCCATCAACCCAGTTTCCCGTCTCTCTGGGTGTCACATGTTGCCAGACCAACGGCTGAGCAACAGCTCGGCATTCCCATTAGACTCGCTTCAGTAGAGGACATCCAGTTCCTGTAAGATATCAACTATAGCCTGTTTATTCACAAACTACAGCACACCAATGACATCTGTCCAATAAGTAACCTGTCACCAATTTCATATGGCTAATTGTTAGCAGGTGCACTTAGCTTCCTATCATTTGCCAAGCCTTTAGTTTATCCTGAAATCCCCCTCCCCCAAAAGTACAGCAGGTCTCCGTCCCACTTTCAATTAAAATCATGCTATCTTGATAATCAGTTGATAATCAAAAAAATAAATAATCATGTGATGGATTCACACATTATTCACACACAATTTCAACATACAAATTACAGTGTTGACTGTAATTAATGGATGAATGCCATCATGAGGGACACTTATCACAAAACCTTGATAATTTAGAAGATCGATCTGAGGCTGTACGTCCAGGCTGTCACACAACGTTTCCTCCGTCTTGCCTGCCATTCCCCTCTGCCCCTACTCCAGTCTGCTCTCTTCCTGTGTCTCACCTTGGTAGTGAGGATGCAGATGCAGTCCATCCTCACCAGTCCGACTGACAAACTTTCATCAAAACATCTTCGAGCCGCAACTTCCACCACTCAGCCGCTTGTTGCTTTTGGTGACATCCTTCTGCCGTCCGTCCGTCTCTGTCCCCTCCTGCACACCCTCTTCTTTCATCCCTCGCTCTCTCTCCTCCCTTTCTCATGTCCTCTCCACCTGTCCTTCCATCGGAGCAGCCAGACAGGACTTCTCCGCTAAAACAGAGGCCGTCTTCAGAAACATGGCAGCTGTCCCGGTGCACCTCCGCCCGCCCTCTTGTTTTCCAGCTGCTGTCTTCGCTTTATGGCAGCTGGTAGACACATTTTTCCCTCAAAGAGTGCATGGCTCAGAATATATATCCGCACACACGCAGAACACACTCTACACACACCGAAAAAATAAAATCGGCAAACATGCAGAGACAGGCGCAGAAACGCATACACATGGATGCACAGGCAAACACTCACATAGACAGACGTGTATGCACAGACATAAGCACACACACACAAATACTTATGCTACACACACACACACACCACTCTCTGCTGTTTTATCAGGTCAGTCTCTGGCAGGAGTGGGTGGTTAGACTGAGTGAATATTAACAGCGGTATAGCAATGGATGCTCTACTTTCAACTTTGGGTTTTGGCGAAGTTCAAGTTCCGCACGCACCCTGAAGCTTCACACACGAATAAGGGATTTCATTTCACTCACTCAGGATACCGGGCCTTCTCTAGATACACGACATCACCGACTGTGCTGTATTTACTGTACTATACAAGACCAGCAGAGCAGAGAGAGAAAGCTGGGTGGAAAAGGTCTCATATGTAAATTTCTTGCATGAAACAAACACACACATACACACAATTTTGCATTTGTTTCTGTTCCTGTCCTACTCTACTTCTGTCCAGCTCCACCCTCCTCTGGCCCTGGACTCATGATGCTCACTGCCGCCAACAGAGAGCTGACAGTCTGTCTGCGCTGCTTCATTTGTGCTAAATTAACACTATTATTGGGTCTCAATTACTTATACAGCCTTTCAATACAAGCAATCTTATTTATTAAAAAGAGTTCAATAATGGATGATAAGAAAAAAATGCACAAAATGTGATTCACTTCATTTAAACTTTGGTCACTTAACACAAAAGTCCCTTTTACAATACAAGCAGTATTCCGTTGCATATACTGTACAGCACTGTATTGAAAGCTTTAGTACAAAGCAAAGTATGTGAATATCATCACAAGTAGTGAGATGTGGACAATCAGCAGCAGTGTAAGCCTGCGTTCAAACAGCACAAACCACAAAGAAACCATTGCAGCGAGATCCCCAAGACAAAAACCAGTCGCATGAGCCCATCTCTGATCTCGTTCTGCTGACTCTACTGGAGAATAAAATGTGACCGAACTGAATTGATTTCCCTTGTCATATTATGTAATGCAATGTAAGCCAATTTCCAAAACAGCCAGCCTGCATAAACGATCTGCCCATCTAATTCTGCTCTCTGCAGCCACCAGCAGCCTTTCCATAAACTGGTTCAAGAGGAGTCGGGTAAAGATTTATCCAACCCTAATTCTGACAAAAGGACAGTCGTGACAGCGTGTATCTTACGAGCAATGTTTAACCGACAATGCAGCACCACAGGGTAGCACAGGGTAGTACTTACTAGCTGACGATAATCTCAGCAAAATAAAATCAAAATATGACACATCAGAACATGACGAGGCTATTAGGACCATACGAACAATTAGTACATACAGTATCTGCCACTTGACTATTTAAACGTCGAATGGGAGAAGTATACAGTACATCACTAAACATGACAAGCTCTCAGAGGCACAAGGAGGAAATGGATGCTATATTTTCATTTAAAAATAGTTTATCTAAGACTCAGGAGAGATACGTAACCTCACTCCTTTTCCAGAATCATGCCGCCCTCGTGTCATCTCAAGGTTACCACCCAACAACTGGATCACTCATCAACTTCGGATAGAGGGCAATACATATCATACGCTGCTATCAACTGTGGCGAGATTTCCAACACAATCGAAGCTGTCTTACCTTGTTGGGTGTCAGTGGGCTGGTAGCTGGCCTGGGGCTGGCTGGACCATGGCTCGGGCTAATGCAGGTGACGTTTACTGGCCCGGGCCTGGTTGGACTAGGAACAGAGATGAAGTAAAGAGGGAGTCTGTGAACTCTGAAAACGGTCAGTTATTATTCTGTGCTATTACACCTGAATTCCCAATAGCAAACAAAATGCAGTGTTGCATTATATCTGTCATTTAACCTATGCGACATACATTTATATTATGAAACGCACGGCGTTTAACAGCTGGCATAATTTTGTTTTCAATTAAAAAATATTTTGAGGGATGAATAAATAATATTTTGAGCTATTTGTAATTAAGTAAATGCAAATTGTGTTAATTTCTATCAGTGAAATTCAAATAGGTGTGAATTAACCTCCATTCGGTTTGTTAGTTTTGCTGTGTTGACAACCAAAGATTGTGTAAATCTTATTAGAAATGGGTTTTGTGTTTTCAGTTTTGGTGGAAATAAATAGAAGAAATTAGATAGCATAGATAGCATGAGTAGCATATCTACAGTACAATACCTGACAAAGTGATGAAAATGACCACCTGTAGTAACTTGAACTTCATCAATGAGAAATTACTGAAAAACCTATCATAGTTTGTAACATACAATTTATACTTCTACATCTGTCTCTATTCAAAGCAAATAACTGGTATTGTGACAGTGTCAGCACACTGTTTCATCAAATTGTGACCAAAGTCATACTTAGTTTTTCTTTTAATTAAATGCTACTTCCACACTGAATTTCGCAGGGATAATTAATCCATTGAGTGTGTTAAAATATCAGTTGCAAAGTACCCTAATACAAATTCAAACATATGGATGTTGAACATACCTCAGATGAGGAGGACCTGTGGGGCTGAACTTTCCCTGGTTGGGGCTCGTTGGACTCCTGCTATGAGTGACTTTGCCTGTGGCCGGGTCCTTGCTGGTCGCAAGAGCTGGAGAGACTACAGTAGCGTCTGTGACTCTGTTGAGAGCTGGGCTGGTGCTAGGAGTGGTGCTGGTGGGGGTACGATTGTCTGGAGTGGCTGGAAACGCAAAGCCTTGGATGGTGCTGGAGACGAGGGCCGAGACGCTCACCAGGTTGAGGTCTGGAGAGACAGAACCACTTTGGGGATTGGCGGAGCTGATGGAGCTTTCTGAAGAAGCGTTAGAGTTGGTGGCAGTAAGGTGCGGCTTTGTTCCATTCAGTGATGCTCCAGGAGGTGTTTTTATGGAGCCGGTGGGGGTCCCTACGCCATTCACCGTGACTCCGGGGGATGTGGCATTAGAGAGAGAAGAAGGCACAGGAGTCTCTGATGCCAACGATTTGGAGGCTCCAGGTTGGTCAGGAGGGAGAGGAGCACGATACTTGACCTTGCTTGCCTCTGACTGAGGTGTAATGGACTGTGTTGTAGGGGAAGATGGCTTTGACGTGGATGTCTCGGATGGGAGTGGAGCAGCGTGGGACTTGATTGACTTGGGTTTTGGGGACAGGGGTTTTGGCTGGGATGGTCCTCCAGAAGCCTGGGGGCTCAAGGGACCAGAGGAGGGCTGTGGCTGGGCTGGGAGCTCTGTTAGCTGGTTGCTAGAAGGAGTGAGATCCCATGGACCGCCTGTCTGGTCCACAGAACACTTGCTGTCTGCGAGGATGGTCAACTCGTAGTACTCCTGGATGTCTGAGGAGGAGGAGAGCAGAGATTAGAGCCGTGATGAGTGACTGAAAGGGTTTAGTGGATTAGTAAATGAGGTACTGACACATTGAAGGGATAGATTAATGAATTAATAGATTCAAAACGGTATAAGTGAATGACTAACCTACTGCAAAATAAAAACAATGAATGATAAACTGACTAAATATCATCAAATATCATGCTCTGTATCCTTCTCCAAAGGATACGGAGCAGTAGGGCTAAAACGATGAGTTGATTCGACAAAAGTTAAGTTCCAATTCAATTGATGATCAGTTAATCACTCCGGACATTTATCACGGCAAACACTTTCTAGTTTAAGCTTCTCCAAACTCAGGATTTATATATCATGGTAAACTGAGTATGTTTGGGTTGTGGACACTTCATTGAACAAAACAAGAAAATGTCACTTTGGGCTCAGGGAAGCTGTGATTGACATTCTTTACATTGTATAGACTGAAAAAATGATCGAACAGATTTATCTATAGTAAAAATAATCATCCATGTCTCCTAATATCACTACTGTACAATGTGCATTGTATTCAGACACAGGCTAGTTGAAGCTGATCACAAAAGAAGGTCTCAGCTAATACACTGCTGACCTCTAGTGGCAGGACACTGCCACCATTGTTATGTACAACAGTAGCTCCTGAAGAATTAAAAGAGGAATAGTTCGTTCTACCGTCATTTCCCGTTTTAGAAGTAGGCACATCAGCGACTGTTACGACTAGAGGCTTCACGTCCCCCTCTCCGCATGCACAACTGACTACACCAAAGCATACACCTGGTTGCGAGCTCAGATAAGTTTGGTGGTCATTAAAAAGATGATGAAGAGGAAGAAAAACAGATGTATAATACGTGGGAAGAGGACAGGGAATATACAGACAGTTGGAGGAGGATGTGTAAAGAGAAAAGGAGAAGAAGGTAAAAGGGAATTTAGCAGGAAAATTCATTAATAAATGACCAAAAAAGAGGCGTCAAGGATGGAAATTACAAAGTACAGTAACACAAAATCACCTCCATGGACGAACAGTAGATATTCAAACAGGATTACATGATGTATGAAGTCAAGACACAACTTTAACAGCAGAAACAGCTTGATTAAAGGTGAAAGTCTCAAACAGGAACTCGTGTTTAGTGAAGAGCACACACACAAAACAGAGAAAGGAGTGTTACTGTGAGAACTAAAAGGTGTGGGCGTGGCGCAAAGCAGGTGAGATCAGGGATTTAGAACCAGTTTGGTAAACCGGAGTGTTTTCCTTCATAACAAGCAGAACAAACCAGTTACACACAGACTGTTAACTCTTGGGAGGAATTCAAAGTTGCAACACATTCTCTAAATGTATGCAGGCTTTCTACAAAGGGACCTGTGTTTTCTGCAGGCTACATCACGCCTACATGTTTGTGTTCTGATCTCTGTTTTCTGGTGAACAGTCATGTGATGGCACAAGATCTTGTAGACACCCCAAAAAACAATGCTCGGGCTCGTTTCCTCTCACAATAAGTCCAGCGCTCTGTCTGCTGGCCTACAAGCCTACTGTCTCATATAGCCAAACCTTCTAATCTTCATTTGTACAAGTGCAACTGTCTTTGCGTCTTCATACACAATCCCAAACACATGGTAGTGTTGTTGTGGAGACCAGCACAAGAACCAAGCTAAAGTGTCAGTTCACCCAAATCACAAAAAAACAGCCAACATCTACGCAGACAGTCTGTTTTCTTTGCCATGGTTTTGAGAAAATGTAATCCAACATTAAAGTACGCTGATTTAAAT